AGGAAAAGTTTTAAAGATACAGAAGTGAACAGGATATTACAATGAAATTTCTGGGTTCTGTCTCCCAGTTTCCAATGATTATTGACATGAAGACTCTTGTTTCATCTTTATCCTTGTGTTTCCCCACTGGATTTTTTTTTTTTTTTTAAGATTTTATTTATTTGACAGAGAAAGAGACCACCAGAGAGGGAACACAAGCAGGGGGAACAGGAGAGGGAGAAGCAGGCTTCCTGCAGAGCAGGGATCCCGATGTGGGGCTCTATCCCAGGACCCTGGGATCATGACCTGAGCTGAAAGCAGATGCCCAACCATCTGAGCCACCCAGGCACCCCTGGGGTTTTTTTTAAGGTTATATTTTTCTTCCTTTTTTTTTTTAAGATTTTCTTTATTTGAGATACAGAGTGAGAGCTGGGAGACAGGGAGAAGGAGAAGCAGACTCCCTGCTGATCAAGGAGCCTGGTACGGGGCTCGATCCCAGGACTCTGGGATCAGGACCTGAGCCAAAGGCAGACGCTCAGTTGAGCGTCTCAGGCGCCCCTTAAGATTATATTTTTGGCGGGCACCTGGTTGGCTCAGTCAGTTAAGCATCTGTCTTCGGCTCAGGTTATGATCTCCAAGTCCTAGGATGGAGCCCCATGTCCGACTCCCTGCTCAGCAGGGACTTTGCTTCTCCTTTTCCCTGTGCCCCTCCCCTCAGCTTGCACTCGATTTCTCTCTCTCAAGTAAATAAGATCTTTAAAAAAATTATATTTTTTAAGTAGTATCTACACCCAACATGGGGCTCGAACCCACAACCCTGAGATCAAGAGTCACACGCTCCTCTAACTGAGCCAAGCAGTAGTGTGGAAACCGTACCTCAGACCCTGCCCCGATTACTTTTTATAGCTACAAGATAGAATTTCATCTGTAAATACCGTAAATAGTACATGTAGAATTTGAGGACTTTACTAAAAACAGTCATCTTTAAAAGTAATTTCCTAGCATCTGATAGAGTTCAAATTTCCCAGATGACTTCAGAAAGGATTCTTTTATAGTTTTATTTCTTTGACTCAGGATTCAAAATAAGGGCTACACATTAGAATGCTTTGTAAATCTTTTTAAATCTATTTGTTTGAAGAAATTAATTTTTTTAAAAGTCTCATACCCTGGATTTTGCTGATTATAGCCTCATGATGTCTTTTTTAACATGATTCCCCTTGTCTTTGAAATTCTTAGGAGTTAGATCTGGAGGCTTGATCATCAGATTTAAGTTTTTCTCTTGTGATGGGAACATTTCAGAGGCAGAGCTTTTGCACCTGCTCGTGTATCACCTCAGCCGGCACCGTTGTTGAAGGCAGCCTTGACCTGTTGATGGTCAAGGTCCCCTTCAGCCTTTGACCTGATGCTTTAAGCAGCGCTTGAGGATTGTTGCCTAGATGAGTTATTTCACTGAGGTTACAGCATCCTTTACTAACGTAAAAACATGTATAACTTTCACTTGGATCAGAATTTACCAGTAAAGAAGGTACATGTGAAACCTCTCTCCTGCTCTGTTCTTCAGTCATCTGGTTGCCTCTAGAACTACCCAGTGTCTTCTGTGTGCTTTAGAGTTTATGTGGATACCTGAGGCAGACAGAATGTCTATATTCCTGTTTTTTCTTTTACACGAGTGGTAATTTGTACACCTATTCTAACCTCACCCTTCCTTTTTTTGTTTAACGTTTTAGTATATCTTTGTGTAGAGTTCCTTATTCCTTTTTGTGGCTGCACAGCATTCCAGACGATGGATATCTTCTTTATATGACCAGTCTCCTGTTGATGATCATGGTGCTGCATTACACATTGCCCTTGTTTGCATGTATGCATTGTTTGCATGTATGCAGGGGAGATTCCTAGATGCAGAACTGTTGGATCAGAGGGGTATCTGGGGTTTTGATGATACCATGGTGTTATCCAGCGGAGCGAATGCTCCCACCAGCAGTGTAGAAGAGTTCCCATCTTCACATCTTTGCTAACAGTGAGTAACCATATTTTGGGGTCTTTGCCCGTCAGAGTTATAGAAAGGTATTTCTTTGTGGAGGTATTGCCTGCCTAGACCCTCGGCTTGAGCTTGGTGGGTGGAACCACTGGTGTTTTATGTGGGAGAAGGTGCCTCCCTGTCCTCACCATTGGCTCCTTCTAGCTTAACACAGCCTCAGCGTGACCATGCCAAGGCCTGGCCTTGGCTTCCTGAAAGTGTTTTATCCAGAAATTCCCTAGGAAAGAGTATGTAATGTCTGCTACTAGGTAATCTGTATAAATAACATTTCAAGTTTCTCAGCTTGAACACTGGCAAACAAATGGCAATATTAACACGTTAATTTAAGCTGTGAAAAAGTTACAGAGCAGTACAATTTCTTTAGCGTCCACATACTGAAAATATAGAACTGATTCTTTTTAACTCAGTAAAAATACAATTAACTTTTTCCCCAAATTGTCTTGGTTTGTGATGTTTTATTTACAGGTTTCTGAAACTACACATTATATCAACTAATTTCCAGACTATCTTTAATATACCAAATGAAACTAGTTCTGATTACACCTACTTTTTCTGTCTACAGATGTACGTTATAATAGTTACATTGACTAAGTCAGATGATGTTCTGGGTTAGAACCCCTTTGTGACCTTGGGCAAGTTATTTTAACTTTTTCTGTACATCTATGAACTGGGCTGGTGGTGACTGCCTCAGAGTTGTGCACATTGAGTGTAGGGATTTTGGAGCCAAACCATAAGGGTGCTTGTACCCTGATGCCATCACTTAGTAGTGTGGAAACCGTACCTCAGTTTCTTCATCTGGGAAATGGAGACCTTCCAGTTTCCGTGTGGACGTGCAGCACAGCACAGGGACACATGTGCACCATGACCAGTCTCCTTGACAGCCCATCTCAGCCTCACTGATTTCTGGCCAGTGTCATTTCTCCTGGGCTGGCAACACTGGGAATAGCACCGCACAGTCCTGAGTGTGGACGAACAGCCCCCAGCAGCAGTGAGACTCACGTGCTTACTGTGTGCCGGCGCTGTGTTCAGGCATCCCCAATCGTCCATGTTTCATCGTACCACCCTTAAGTTGTAGAGCTTGGGTGACTTTCTAGTAAATAGTAGGTTGTGATTAGGACTTAATTTTTAGACTTGAATACTCTTTTTTTTTTTAGATTTTAAAGCATGAGCAGGGGTGGGGAGTGCAGAGGGAGAGGGAGAAGCAGGCTCCCCACTGAGCAGGGGGTCGCAATGCGGAGCTTGATCCCAGGACCCCGGGATCATGACCTGAGCCGAAGGCAGATGTATAACTCACTGAGCCACCCAGGCACCCCGACTTGAATACCTTTAAAAAAAAAAAATTACTTAAACCTCTCCTCTTTGATATATTTTAAGACTCGATCTGAAATTGACAAGCACATTGAACAGGAGAAGGCAGTAGAACAGAGTGCCATCTTTTTTAAGATTGTTTTTTTTTTATTATTTGAGAGAGAGCATGAGCGAGGGAGAGGGAGAAGCAGGCTCCCCACTGAGCAGGGAGCCCGATGAGGGACTTGATCCCAGGACCCTCGGATCATGACCTGAGCCAAAGGCAGACGCTTCACCGACAGAGCCACCCAGGCACCTCCAGAGTGCCATCTTTTAAAGAATGTGGCAGTTAAAAGATGTCTCTGTGGTCTGCCTATTCTGTGTTGTGAAGTTACCGTTTAGTTTTTAGCCTATCAGATGTCTGAGTCTGTAGTTGATTTGGGTTCTGCTGAAGCTGCCGCTGGTTGCTTTAATTGGTCAAGGTGTCCCATGTCACCCACTTGTCTTCAACCCTGATGAGTGGATTCGTGGGTCTGTCTCAGGTGTGAAATCACTCTGTTTGGGTAGATAACAGAAGGACACTGCACCATAGACTTAGTACCTCTGTGTAGGTGAACCTGGGGCATATAAGGGTGGTCTTCTAGGATCCATTGTCCCTCACAGGAGGCATGTGACCTGTATTAGCTTGCCGGCACCTTGATCCTGATTAGTTATCACTGTCAGCAGGATTGTCAACTCTGTCTTTCCAGGAAGTATGGTGCATGCAGACAAATGCTGATCATTTGCTTTCCTGATGGATTTGAACATAGTGAGAAATGTTTATCAGGGAATATTTGGATGTCCAACAACAGGAAAGAGGTCCTGAATTCCAAAATTATGGAGTGAAATTGGGAGTTGTCCTCAGTGGGTGATTATGCTTTAGCCTTTCTCCAGCACCCTGTGGGGCTTGGCACTGTCAGAGAGCCTATTCTCTGTCTTGACCTATGTCCAAGTATGCATTTATTTGAAAAGAGTATTTAAGATTTCTGGAGGAGACCCTAACCCTGTCGTCCATTCCAGTGTCACACTGATCCTCATAGAGTGCTTTCTTAACAGCTGACTTGCTCTCTCTGGCCATCTTTGGGCGGAGGGACATAGATTATCACCACTTGGTCTGTTGGCGTAACCTTCATCTGCTTTATATCATCTCCACCCAAAGTTTTTTCTTCTGTATTTTTTGGTGATAGATCATATGATGCAGTCCTGTCATCCTGTGCTAAATTCCCTTGCTGTCACACTTAACACAATGCCAACATTTGCAAGTGCACTAACGGGTGTAACTTAGGAGGTGCTGCTTGCCAGTCACCGGTCATAGCCTGGCAGATATCCTAGTTGTAGGTCTATCTGAGGTTATGCTGGGGCCTTTGACTGGTCCTGGCAAATTAAATGCCTAACACATGTGAAGCAGCTCATTAGTGTTTTCGTGTTTCCCCCATAAGTCTTCAGAGTGAGCAGGTAGATTTCTAGAGTTTCTTTCCCTTTATCTCTTTGGGGAAGTAGTTACCAGTTCTCCTGCTACTTTAGACAGGCAGTAACGACCTGTGCTCATAACTCTCAGTAATATTTGTTCTGTTGTTTTGTTTTGAGGTGGAAGGGGGATCTCTACCCTCAGAACATGGGGGAATAATATTTACGTGGCTCACACAGACCAGTGAGTACATGATCCGCACCCCCCACAGCTCACCAGAAGAGGGCCTCCGATACTAGTCTCAGTCCAGCATTTGCTTCCCCACAGAGAACGCTACTAATTATGGCTAAAAAAAATCCGGGAAATGTTATCGAGGGATGGGGGTCCTTTTACAACTTTTAGGAATAAATAGATCAGATGAGAAGACCATGCTTCTGAATGATCACTTGGTTTAACAAAGCCCCTTGGTTAAATGTGATTATGGATGTGCTAGCTGTAGTGTAGTTTAAGATCTTCCCACTGAACTTACAGGCTTTAAGAAACCAACCCAGGAGTGTATGTCCTATTGAATTGATGGGTTCCAAGACCTTACCCTTAACTGATCATAGCTCTCTGCTTCTCCTGAGCTAGGCGATGGATCACTTGGAGTCCTTTATTGCTGAGTGTGATCGGAGAACTGAGCTTGCCAAGAAGCGGCTGGCAGAGACCCAAGAGGAGATCAGTGCAGAAGTTTCTGCGAAGGTATGCCTGAGAGACTTTCTCGAGTTGTGTGTGCAAATCAGTGTCTGGTAAAAACCAGCCTGCCAACTGGCTAACAGCTTACCATTAGCACTGACTCTGCGTCTTTGGGGTGGACAGTCCTTGCTGCCTCGGTGCTTCTCAGTAAGGAGAGAAGGCTGTCAGCAAGCTCTCCACCCCCGGGAGCTGCCTCTGTCTGTCCCCCAGTTTTTTTGTTTTTTTTTTTTAACACCCCCAGATAAAACAGGAAATGGAGACAGTTAGTTGGGAAATGGTTAGACTGTCCTGAAGAATGAAGAAGATACATCTGTGTGTCATTGGCCTATCAGCACATCCTCCTTCTGTTCCCTGATTTTGAGTGCAGCTGATGAGTCTCTTCAGTGTCCTTTTCTCTCAGTTTTATAAAAGCATTGCTTAGGATATGTGTAGTTGCTACCTTATTTCTAGAATTAAATCCCAAATGATGAGGCATTTTGCTTACGGTACAAGTTTATGCATTTAATCCTGGACATTTTATGGCCCCTACCCAGAAGGTTGAGTTGTGATAGAAGACATGAGAAGAGACAGCTTAGAAAGTGACCATGATGACCCTGGCCACCATGTTGGAAGTGACAGGCATGATGCTGCTCTTACTGGAATGCAACACGCAGGTTTAGTTTAAGGTCAGAATCTCAGCGATGCCAGTAAAGATGTCAGAATTGTTAGTTTGCTTGTGATCCTGCAAGGATCTTGGCTATTCCATTTAATTTTTGTAGAACAGAGCAGAAGTACAGCAAGAGAAACACTCATTGTCTCTGTGTTAAGATCTTTTGGTTTTAGATGTTTGCTTACCTGGTTGTTGTCTTCTTTCAGGCAGAAAAAGTACATGAGTTGAATGAAGAAATAGGAAAACTTCTTGCTAAAGCTGAGCAACTGGGAGCTGAGGGAAATGTGGATGAATCCCAGAAGATTCTTATGGAAGTGGAGAAAGTCCGTGCAAAGAAAAAAGAAGCTGAGGTTGGTGGGAAAATGTCTTCAAGAAAGAGGAAACGTAGTAACCCCTAAATGTTGACTGTTTGGGCTAAAATTAAACTATTCCATTTTTTGAATATTGGGAAGAAGTTGGAAATAGCGTGCTATGTGGACAGGGTTGTAGGATTTAGAGTGTGCACGTACTTGGGTTTGTGCCTTTGCTGTGTCCCCTGTAACCCTAGTGTGACATCAGACCCGTCACTTGCCAGCCCTGAGCATAACATCCATATGCAGAGCGCAGTCCTGAGCGTTGAAGAGTCACTAGAGTGGTGTCGTTTACTCTCTGGTCCTTTGGCTCTGTAGGGGTTTGCTGGGCTGTGGTGGTCACTCAACTGGTGTGAGTGGGCCAGAGTGGTAGTGCAGATTGCCCTAAAGAACAAAACCTGCGTGTTCTTGGTGACACTGCATCTCTGGTAGAGAACCTATGCAGATTGAGGGTAGCATCCAAGTGGTGTCAGCTAGGGTACCAGGCCAGGACACACTGGCAGGGTGGTGGAGAAACTGAGTCAGGGACTCAGTGTTTGTATCGTTGACAGGCATTTTCTTCCAGACTATTTTATCCATTAGATATGCTCTGGCTCTTAAGTCCTTACCACTGGAACTGGAAATGGCTCACATAGGCTTTGAGAATGGTGGGAACAGTAGAGTCAGAGGGAGGCGGGGATGGTTGTATTCCCGGAGTAAATGCTTGTTAAGCTCCAGCTCTGTGCCAGATAGTTTTTAGTTGTTGTTTTTCTTTTTTCTTTTTAAAGGTTTTATTTATTTGAGAGAGCAGAGCAAGAGAGAGCATGAGTAGGTGGGGGAAGGCAGAGGGAGGGGAAAAAGCAGACTTCCTGCCGAACAGGGAGCCCAACACGGGGCTCAGTCCCAGGACCCTGGGACCATGACCTGAGCCGAAGGCAGATGCTTAACCAACTGAGCCAGCCAGGCGCCCCAGATAGTTTTTAGCTGTGAGCACACCAGAGGAGGCCCTCCTCATGGAGACCGTGCTGGAGTTGGCAGGGGATACAGACAGAAGGGTATGTGAACAGATGGATAAGATTCATTCACATGAAGATAGGTGCTCAAAAGAAATGGGGTCTGAGTTTGAGAGTGACTTTGTGTTGCCAGGGGTCTCCAGGTGGAGTGATCCTGGAAGTGCCCTTAGCTGAGACCCACAGGCTGAGAAAGTTATTAGAGTGGTGGGGTCAGGGAGCCTGGGTAGAGATGAAGTCTTATATAAGTCATGTATATAAATCCTTAACATAGAATCTAAACTCCTTTTTACTGAAGTGGAAAATACATGTTTATATGTAGAACAGAGTCAGGCTCCTTGGGTTGCTGACTGCTGTACCAGGAAGGCCAGAGAGTCAGGAGGGAAGCTCTGTGGCTTCTTGGTGCACCCTGAGGCCCAGCCCTTCATGCTTCCAAGAGCAGAACAGACACCAGAAATCCCTGGGATGGCTCAGAGATTTGTATGGGGGTATAAATGATTGTAGATGAGGGGTTCATCATGTGGATGTCTTTAGACAGCCCAGACAGGAGCAGGATGTGGGATGCATGGGTGTTCATGTCCAGGACTCGTAGCATCCTTAACCCAGCCATTGTCCTCCATCCCCATCACTGAGAGTGCCCCCAGGAGGCAGCACCACCTCCTTAAAACCACTGGGCAAGACAGGATGGTGTTGGGGAGGCCTCCGCCAGGCTGCTGTCTGGTGGTGTGGCACCTGTGAGTTCCTTTCTGCTCTCAGCAGGCATGCATGTTCAGTAGTCTCAAGGAATAATAGAGAGAGATCCCATGTGCCCTTTATCCAGTTTCCCGTGGTGATAACATCTTGAAAAACCATAGCACAATATAATAGAAAGGATGTTGACAGTCACGATACGGAATATCCATCACCACCAAGATCCCGCCCATGACCCTTCTGTAGCCACATCCACTTCTCTGCCCCTGGCAACTACAAATCTCCTGCATCTCTATATTCTGGTCATTTTAAGAATGTTATGTAAATGGAGTCATACAGTAGGTACCCTTTTGAGACTGTTGTGTTTTGTTTTGTTTTTTTCCCACTCAGCATAATTAGAGTTTATTTTGAAAGAAATTAGAGGGTGGTAGTTTCAAAACTACAGAAAGGGATAGAATATCACAAATATTTATGGGTCCACTATATTTGTCATTTTTGCCTAAGGATTTTGGTTTTGTTTTTTCTCTTTTTTTTAAGATTTTATTTATCTGAGAGAGAGAATGGGAGACAGAGAGCATGAGAGGGGGAGGATCAGAGGGAGAAGCAGACTCCCCGCTGAGCAGGAGCCTGATGTGGGACTGGGACTCGATCCTGGGACTCCAGGATTATGACCTGAGCCGAAGGCAGTTGCTTAACCACCTGAGCCACCCAGGCGCCCCCCCCCTTTTTTTTTTTTAAAGATTCTATTGTTTTTTCTCTTTAATAAAAGCTGTAGCACATCGTAATGGAAATTCAGGTTCCCAGTGCTTCCCTCTCCAGCCTCCTCCTGTCACTAATGTAGACATAAGTGTGCATTCTGTTCTGTCTTTACCCTTTATTACATGTGTGTGCTGCCCGTAAACTGTGTGCTTGCGTGTGTTTGTGCACGTGCGCGCTTTGTGCTTTTAAAAAAATCTCCCATAAATGCTGTGTATGTCTTTCTCGCTTGCATTATTCACTCACCACTGTTTGTGAGGTCTCTCCTTGTTGCTATGTACAACTTCCTTCAGTTTCTTGCTGTAGGGTTCTGTTTCATGAACATGTGACTATCTGTTGGTGGTTTTCTAGGGCATTAGTGGTTTCTCATCTTCACAGACCGTTCACAGCAAGTGTCCTTGCACTTCCTTGCTGGCACATGTATGAGCATGTTCTAGGACACGTTCCTGGAAATGGCACACACCTGTCTGGCTTTCACAGATAATTCAGTTGCACTCCCTGTGGGTTGCGCCAACGTACCTACTAGTCTCCTACTAGCAGTGTGTGAGAGTGCATCTTTGTTTATGTCTTTGCCAGTTTAGTGAGTCATGTGGTATCTTAATCTGCATTTGCTAGGGAATTTTGAATGAATTAATGGAATACTCCCTTATTTTTTTTAATTTTTTAAAAAGATTTTATTTATTTGAGATAGAGTGTGCACAAGGGGTGTGAAGGGCAGAGGGAGAAGCAGACCCCCCTGCTGAGCGGGGACCCCGATGTAGGGCTCGATCCTGGAACTCCGGGATCATGACCCAAGCCAATGGCAGACGCTTAACCAACTGAGTTACCCAGGCTCCCCTTTTTAAAATTTTTTAAAAGATTTTATTTATTTGTCAGAGAGAGAGAGAGGGCACGCACACAAGCAGGGGGAGCGGCAGGCAGAGGGAGAAGCAGGCTCCCAACTGAGCAAGGAGCCCAATGCCGGACTCGATCCCAGGACCCCAAGATCATGACCTGAACCGAAGGCAGATGGTTAACCAACTGAGCCACCCAGGTGTCCCATGGAAGATCCCTTTAAATAAGGACCAGTGACTGTTGGAATGCATTTTTCTTATTTTTTTTATTCATTTGAGAGAGAGACAGAGCCCAAGCACGGGGAGAGGCAGAGCGGGAGGGAGAAGCAGACTCCCCACTGAGCCAGCCTGGAGCCTGATGTGGGGCTCGATCCTAGGACCTGGAGATCATGACCTGAGCTGAAGACAGATGTTTAACATTAATGTCTGAGTCACCCAGGCGCCCCCTGGAATGCATTTCTTAATTCTGGGTCTTAGAGGCGTGTTTTGACTTTGGCACCAGCACCAGGAACCATGTTTTATTACTTCATTTCTTCTGTATTTCATCCATTCTGACTGGAGTGGCTGCCAGTTTTGCTCGTTCTGTCGGACACATTCTTTTTTGAAGAGAGTGTCTAATGTATTTGTGTGTCCAAATTTTAGCTTTTAGGGCAGAGTTGGCATACAGCTTCCTGGATGTTGGAACACAGTCTCCATGAGTGGCTCTTGTGTGTTTTGTCTGTTTATTTGGTTTGGTTTTTGTGCTTTGTTTTTTTGAGGGCCCCTTTTGAAGAGTCTCCCTTGTTCCTCTGGTCCTCCTAGAGCTTTCCACTGTGTGTAACTGAGACCTGTCTTCCCTGCTGGCCTCTGAGAACAGACAGCATCCTGCTTGTCTGAGAATTTTAAATGTTCCTTATTGCTTTGAAATCATGATTGTTAGTTCATTTTGTAAATAAACGATGGAAATAGAGTCAGTTACAAATATCTGAAGTTTGTAAATGATCCATTTTTTGTTTATTTAAAAGTCACCTCTATAGTCCCTTCAAATATTTCCATTTTGGGGGTTGAATATTTAGTTGTGGTTCTGTGGACCTCATTTTCATTGCTCTGTTCCCACTGTCCAGGAAGAATACAGAAATTCCATGCCCGCATCCAGTTTTCAACAACAGAAGCTGCGTGTCTGTGAGGTTTGTTCGGCCTACCTTGGTCTCCACGACAATGACCGTCGTCTTGCGGACCACTTCGGGGGCAAGTTACACTTGGGGTTCATTCAGATCCGAGAGAAGCTTGATCAGTTGAGGGTACGTTAATATGTTGTTTCTGGAGAAACCCAAGAAGTCTTGTGATGTCTTTGTATTAATTTCCAGAAAACCTTGTGTTTTGATCTTTTTTTTTTTTAAGATTTTATTTATTTACTTGAGAGAGAGTGTGCACAAATGGGGGCGGGGCAGAAGGACAAGCACACTCCCCGCTGAGCAAGGGAGCCTGACGTGGGGCTCGCTCCCAGGACCCTGAGACCATGACGCGACTTTAGACACTTAACTGACTGAGCCACCCAGGCACTGCTGTTTTGATCTTTTCTAAGAACATGTCTTTGAGTTTTATTGTGAAATATTCAGATTTTATCACTTCATTCACCCAAGAGAACAAAGGCCTCAGAATCCAAAGCGACTAGTCTGCACTTGTTTGCAGGAAAAAAACGCAGAGTCTAGTCCTCTGGTACAGAGAGCTCTCACACATCTCGGAAATAACTTTTGGTTGGAGATGGGAAGAGCCGGTAGTCTCGTTTTTCTCCTTTGGCAGAGGCGGATGCGTGGAGAGTGGTTAGGTTAGACAGAAGATCACACTTCCTGGCCCTTGCCTTTGAGCCTCCTCGGAAGGACGAGAACATGGTGGAGTTTTTTGGATAGCACTGCTTCACCACTGCCCACCTTTGTCTCTTCCTCAAGGCTCCTCAGTTTCCTGGGTTAGACTCTAAAACTTATCTTGGGTCCACTTAGAAGGATGGGTGAGCATGTTTCAGATACTTTGAATTATTTTTCAGACTGGTGGAGTCCTCCCTGCTCTGTATAGGGGCCACTAGGATGGGGTGCTGGGAACTATGCAGGTCTTCCCTCCAGACACATGAAATTTGGTGGAAAGACGCATGGCACTTTACTGGGACACTGCAGCAATCAAGGTGGAGGGCCTTGTGTGCCCCTAGAAGGAGCAGGGGGCAGAGCCCTGCACGTGAGGAGGGGTTGCCAGTAGGTGAGGTGTGAACTTGGCACTGGGAGTGGAGCTGGGGTGGCAGCCACTGGTCTTAACACAGTTTGCTCCTGTGCTCCCAGTAGAATTTTGGGAAGTGATACACTCTGTTACACATTTCTTCTTCTTCTTCTTCTTTTTTTTTTTAAGATTTATTTATTTGAGAGAAGGAGCATGTGCGTGAGCAGGGGGAGGGGCAGAGGGGGAGAGAGAATCCCCAAGTAAACTCTCCACTGAGCACAGAGCCCAGAGATCATGACCTGAGCCAGAGTCAGATGCTTAATGAACTGAACCACCCAGGCGCCCCTTCCATTTCTCCTTT